GTTTTCCCTCTAGTTTAATCTGGCATTCAAATCTCGACACCGATTTTTTGGTCGAAATTCATGTCCAAATCTTACCCCAAGATACGTATATAGACGTGGGTCAAAATTTACAACCCCCATATCCCGGCCAAATCTCATCCCATTTTCATGAAGTTTGGCTTTTTCTTCATGGTTTTCCCTCTAGTTTAATCTGGCATTCAAATCTCGACACCGATTTTTTGGTCGAAATTCATGTCCAAATCTTACCCCAAGATTCGTATATAGACATGGGTCAAAAATTACCACCCCCATATCTCGGCCAAATCTCATCCGATTTTCACGAAGTTTGGATTTTTCTTCATGGTTTTCCCTCTAGTTTAATCTGGCATTCAAATCTCCACACCGATTTTTTGGTCGAAATTCATGTCCAAATCTTACCCCAAGATTCGTATATAGACATGGGTCAAAAATTACCACCCCCATATCTCGGTCAAATCTCATCCGATTTTCACGAAGTTTGGCTTTTTCTTAATGGTTTTCCCTCTAGTTTAATCTGGCATTCAAATCTCGACACCGATTTTTTTGTCGAAATTCATGTCCAAATCTTACCCCAAGATTCGTATATAGACATGGGTCAAAATTTATCACCCCCATATCTTGGCCAAATCTCATCCGATTTTCACGAAGTTTGGATTTTTCTTCATGGTTTTCCCTCTAGTTTAATCTGGCATTCAAATCTCCACACCGATTTTTGGTCGAAATTCATGTCCAAATCTTACCCCAAGATTCGTATATAGACATGGGTCAAAAATTACCACCCCCATATCTCGGTCAAATCTCATCCGATTTTCACGAAGCTTGGCTTTTTCTTAATGGTTTTCCCTCTAGTTTAATCTGGCATTCAAATCTCGACACCGATTTTTTTGTCGAAATTCATGTCCAAATCTTACCCCAAGATTCGTATATAGACATGGGTCAAAATTTATCACCCCCATATCTTGGCCAAATCTCATCCGATTTTCACGAAGTTTGGATTTTTCTTCATGGTTTTCCCTCTAGTTTAATCTGGCATTCAAATCTCCACACCGATTTTTTGGTCGAAATTCATGTCCAAATCTTACCCCAAGATTCGTATATAGACATGGGTCAAAAATTACCACCCCCATATCTCGGTCAAATCTCATCCGATTTTCACAAAGTTTGGCTTTTTCTTAATGGTTTTCCCTCTAGTTTAATCTGGCATTAAAATCTCGACACCGATTTTTTTGTCGAAATTCATGTCCAAATCTTACCCCAAGATTCGTATATAGACATGGGTCAAAATTTATCACCCCCATATCTTGGCCAAATCTCATCCGATTTTCACGAAGTTTGGATTTTTCTTCATGGTTTTCCCTCTGGATTAATCTGGCATTCAAATCTCGACACCGATTTTTTGGTCGAAATTCATGTCCAAGTCTTACCCCAAGATTCGTATATAGACATGGGTCAAAAAGTACCCCCCCCCCCCCATGTCTCGGCCTAATCTCATCCGATTTTCACGAAGTTTGGATTTTTATACCCTGAACACATTAAAAATGGGTATAAGGGTATATTGTATTTGTGCGAAGGGCAATGTATGTAACAGGCAGAAGAAAGCAACTCCGACCCCATAAAGTAAATATATTCTTGATCTGCATAAATAGCTGAGTCGATCTAGCCATGTCCGTCTGTCTGTCCGTCCGTCCGTCCGTCCGTACATATGAACGCAAGGATCTCAGAACCTATAAGAGCTAGAGACCTAAAATTTTATATGTAGATGCTCCTAGCTCCCGCGCAGATAGAGTTTGTTTCCGATAATCGATAACTTACTCCGTTTCCAAGCAATCGATAAAAATCGATATCGATATCCTGTTTTTGGGCAATTTTGGTAAATAATAAGAACTAGAGTCACCAAACTTGACATATAGCTTCTAAAATAGAATAAATATATGCATTTGATGTTGGAAGAAGAGGGTTCAGGGTATCCTCTAGTCGGGAGCTCCCGACTAGAACATCTTACTTGTTATTTTATGTTTCATTTAATTTTTATTTTTATTTTCATTTTATTTTATATTATGCTTTTTTTGTTGTTTGCCGCTGCTGCTGTTTGTTTGTTGTTTGCGTTTGGCGTTGAGTAGCGGAAATAGTAAAAGTTTTCTAATGAGAAAAGTTTACACACAGAGACAGAAAGGAAGCCCGAAGGAGAGTGGCAGAGAGAGAGAGAGCGCGACAAAAATAGGAGTGAAGCAAAAGAGCGGGTGCTTCTAAGATGCAGACAACGAGCAACCCATATAAAGAGGCACCGCTGGAACCAACGGCGTTGTCCACACTGGCGACGAATTTAATCATCTGCCTTTACTGTTGGTCCCGTTGTTGTTCATGTTATTGTTGTTGTTGCTGTGTGCGCGAATGTGCACATCAAAAACTAAACACGTCAAAGTAAGCAACGGAAATGAGAAAAAAGTGCGCTTATTTATTTTGTACTCTTTTTCAACAATTTCGTTTTTGTCGCCTGCACCTCTATTTGACTTGGTTGACAACGAGAGACTGAGACAAAGACAAAGACGGCGACAGAAACACGCATTTTGCGCCCTACGCCTTTCGGCACGTCAGCATCAAAGCGTGTTATAATTTCAAAATTATGCAAAGCTCTGGTAAACGTGGACGTGAACTCATTCCGGCGTGTTTAGTGCCGGATATGAAGAAGAAGACCATGAAAAGAGCCCAATACTCGCACACAGTTTTCAAGTGCCAGGGCTGCAATTGACATGGTGGTGAACTTTGGCAACAGGGCGTATTATAATCAATAAACATTCAAGATATGTAACTCTAACACGTTTATTTTAGCCAAAAATTTATTAACTGATCAGATATACTTCATTAATTACACTATGTTAAGCCAACCCTATATAAAACCTTACTCTTTTGGTACACTTTTTTAATTATCTTTTATTTTATATTTTTAACTATTATTTAAAATATGTTCATAAAACCATAAATAATTTTGCAGAAAGTTCAAGCCTCTAATTGCTGAATTTGGCCAATATATATTGAAAACCGAAAGAATAAATAAATGCTTGATAGGTTCGATTACATTTAGTGACAAAATTATAATACCTTCTACAAGGGTAGAGAAACATTTAAAATAAGTTTACAAGTTAAGTTTAAGTTTTATTCAAGAAATATAAAATGGATTTAACATCTGAATTGTCTGTTATATAAATAGGTTTCTCGCTTTTAAAACAAATCATTTAATGTATCATATTCCAGTAAATTAATTTAGCGCGAGCATTATTTATGCGTGCGTATTATGCATATCTTACTTCCTCAATTTTCCAATTTGTGTATATTTTAAGAGTAGCTGGAAAATTGGCTTGGTCAGCATAATATCACAATAGCTCACCGAAACACACTCTCATTTTAAATGCCGCCCTTTTGATGTTAATGCAGATGTATCTTGAGGATACATCTTGCTTTATGTCATTTGGCAGCTGCTAATAACTCGGATTTAATAAACAATTAAATTGTTGCCCCTGTGCGATACGTATCGACAATTACTTGGCAAGCTGACATTTTACAAGATTTCGGATAACGTTTAACAAGCCAATTAAAATCGAAATACCCATGGGGGCAGAACGTATATAAGAAGCTGCACAGCTAACTGCTGGCCAGCGGCGAGAAGTCACAGTTTCTCCCATTCCCAAAATATTGAACGCGACGTGACGGCTCGAAAATGAAGCTATTTTGCGTTGTTTTGGTTGTTTACGTGGTGGCTTTGACATTGTTCGGCGTGGACGGACGTGGTGGCGGTGGCGGTGGCTCCACAAAGGGCTTGGAGGTAAGCGACATAATACTTGCTGCACTATTACAAATATTTAAAATAAGTTTTTGCTACAGGAGCCCGTGCGCCTCTTTGTCAGGGTAAGTCTGTTGTGAAATAAATGGCACAAAAGTTAAAATCTCTCTGCCCCAAGACGCGTCGCCAATTAAGCGTTAATGAAGAGGAATTGGTGCGGCGACGCCTCCTGGGTTATAAGAATTTACTTATGCGATTTTGCCAATGCCTACTAATTCTAGACACGGCGCCATGTTCACACTCATAAAAAGGGACTTGAGAGCGCATCGGCTTATGTCAACAACGAGCAACCGCCACCACCCCCACCACATTTGAGAGTAAGCTATCAGATATAACTATAAAGTATTACATCTGAAATCTGTCCATATGCTAACAGCCCCGTCGTAATACCATTAACTTGAACAACGAACCAACGCAGGTGACTAACGAAGAACCACCACCACATACCAGGGTAAGTAAAATATTCCAATACTTTACTATCAGCTACTCCTATCTTTATTAACTAGTTAGTTCCCATTTGATCTGTGTTCATTCCTCTGTATTCTGGCAACAATAAGGTTACCCATTCATTGGCCAGCTACCACCTGGTATTCCCTTACCACTAGCTAGTATACCAATACCAATACCCTTGCGCTAAAGCGATGTTAATGGAAGCATTATAAGAAAAAAATGGTTATAGGACTTTCTCAGTACCAGGAGCCTCAGCGAGCTCATTTGTCATTTAGGGAAAATATTTTTTTGAACTTGTTAGGCATAGTTTTAAAAGACTCAAATTAGAGACTATGCAACATCATCAAAGAGTTAAATCACTTTACTAATTGCACATTATTTATTATTTCTGGCTCAACAGCAACGCCGCCAGATGCCATCGCCACCTGAGGGAATGCCAGCACCGCCTGATGGAGTGCCAGCACCACCCGCGGGTATGCCAGCACCACCAGCTTAAGGATAAGGAATAGCTAAATATTATTTACATACATATATCATATAGTAAGGCGCTTGCGTAGGGGTTAGGGAACCACGGCAACAATAAGGAATTAGCCATAAAATAAAATATGTTTCAAGCATTCCAAAAAAACATTTACCAAATCGCCTAGCTGATTTATAAACTCATAAACGATTTAACATTTCCAAGTAGTATCTGTAATCTGCGCTAATCCTCTGCAGCTGCTCCGCAAACATAAATCAGGTAGTTTTGCCCAGATGCTACCTGCAATTTTTTTTTTTCCATGACGCGTATTTAAGAGTCTGTTGGTTGTGAGTTTAGTCAGTTGCAGATCGTCTTTCGTCAGGATGAAGCTCGTTGCGTTTCTTTTGCTAAGCAGCCTCACTTTTGCCTTGGTTCTGGCCTTTCCTGATAACCACAATGCAGTTGCTGATTTGCCAGATGCTGACCTGCATGCTGATGCAATTTCCACGACAGGAGAGGGAGGCGCCGCCACGCCATCAGAGACTAATCAGCTACGTCGGCCACGTCATCTTCTGAAGAAGCTGTACTATCCACAGCCACAGGTGATAGTACAACCAATTCTGGTACAACCGCAGCCCTACTATACCAATTCCTACATTGGTGCTGGTCGAGGTTATAATATTGGCTATGGCATAGGAAAAAGCTATAAGAAATGGTAGAACATTTTATCGAAAATTTAATAAATGAAAATGTTGTCTTAAAGCAAAGCGCTTTTTGTTGTTCCTTTTTTATGCAAAGTCAAATTTCTCCAGCGCAAATCCCTTAAGTCCAAAACAGTCGTAGACTTGACGGCAACGGTCGCATTTTCTTCCAAACTCCCGCCACAATTGTCTCTCTAATGCCTAATTAGGCATGCTAGGCACGTAAGTCTAATTCCCAAAAACTTAGAGAAGGTCGCGGCTCGTCGGTTGGAATGCAAGATTTTTAAATAATTTCAATATATTACAGCATTTAAAGTCAGAGAAAAATGAAGAGCTAATTCCGCTCGTGAAGTCAAAAATGTTTAAGATATATTTAAAAAAAAAACTATATTTATATATTAAATAAATATTTTACAATAAAATTAAATGAAATAAAATATTTGCTAATAGATATAAAAAATATGTAAAGTTTTGAAATATTCAGCCTGTCTTGTTAATTAAGTTTTGACAATTAAGGCTTATGAGCATTAAATACAATTACCAGGCTACATCGTAATTGAGTTGTTACGATTTGGGATTAAGAACATTTAATATTAAAAAACTTATTACAATTTTCAATAAATATCTTGAAACGCATTTAATACCAAAGAATTTGGTTTAGGCCAAGCCGAAGCAGCTTCTTGCCAGAATTTAAAATTGATGACAGCTGATTTAGTGTATTGGACGGTGTGCCAGCCCTGAACAACTACCTGGGGACTCATCAGCCATCAACTGAGCAGCGCGCCCATGGGGTCCCAAACGGGCAGTTCCACGCTGGGCTGAGTTTGAAGCGCGTGCATCACGCCTGGCGGCACATAGCGGGAGTCGACAACTATCTCGAAGGCATACTCCCGCAGCCAGTCGACGTTTAAGACGGTAGCCTTGCCGCTGGCCACTTTGCGCTTGACTGCATACTGCTTGGCCTCAGCGTCAGCATCAACAGCTTCCGGCAGTCGCAGGCTATCTGAGGACTCCGTCTTTTTGGTGGTTGTCGGTTCTGTTGCCTTTCGCATTGTGCGAAATTGCAACGGCTGCCGCATTGCATCCAATGTGACCTCTGTCAGCAATAGCACTGTATTGCGACGCGTCGCCTTGTAGAGCATACGTTCGGCTTTGTCAAGTGCCGTGTCCACGGGCATGCCAAAAACCTGATCAAAGTGGTACGCTTTCAGGCTAAGCACATCCGACTTGGTGTTATACAAAACTGGCAGATCGCAGGCCAGCCACACAGCTGAGCCTGCTGCCAGAGACTTTACGATGGCTTCCAGCAGAATCTCCATTGGTTGGTTGATGTACCTTTGCTGTAGTCCGTCAATCATGTTAGAGCTGTTTGCGATGTGATAGTTGCGGTGATAGATGGAGGTGAGGCGGGGATCGTGGCCCAGGCAAACCTGCGCATCGCGTGAAAAATAGGGCTCTATCATGGCTTGGTAAAAGCTCAGCGGTGTATAGACTAGCCTCTGGTCTTCATCTTTTAAGCTCCACGTAAAGTTAACGGGCGGCGTTCCCAAGCAAATGCTTATTATTTTGTAAAGCTCTTCAATCATGGGTTCCAGATATATTAATCGCAGCATATGGCTATCTCCATCAAATGTAAATTTCGCATGCAGTCGGCAGCTAAACTCGTGCAGCTGCAAGATTTAACGACTTAGTCTCAATCCAACCGGATGTGAGGTAGACAGCACTTACCTTGCTCCTAAGCATCTTGTTGAGATGCAGCGATCGAGTTGACGACCAACTAGCCAGATAGGATTGCTTGGGCATAGCACCGTACTTCTGGATGAGATTCACAAACATCTGCCAATTCCCGCCATCGGGCACCGTGTGTTTCATCAAGTACTTAAAGGTGCGCCCATCTATTGGCTCACAACGTGCTAGGAGCTCTATCACAGTATGGAGAAAATAATTACAGCGCTCCAGCTTGTGCCAGTAGAACAGATAAGGGGCGGAGAGTTCGCAATCCTTGCGCATGGATAAACGGAGCAGATCGAGGCCAGCACAGATCCATTTCGGGCCGCCAACCGTCGACTTTGCCAGCTTAGTCACCTCATAGTGTTCCTTGCCGGGCATAGTTAACGATTTCTGATCCTGCCTCATACAAGCGCTGATCGGATCACACGCGGTACAAATATTTTGGGCCAGTCGGTTAATTGGCAGCGTAAAGAACTCAGAACGCCATGTGGACAACTGGGACTTTTCAAGTGTAAAGCAGGCGGTAATTGGCGGCGAATCGCCCATTTCGTTAATTTGCGAGAGCTATGACATTAAGAAAAAATAGAATTAAATATATAGAAATTTAAAAGATTACTAAAAATACATTTTTAGTTTGTTTCTTTTTTTTTGCATTTTTTCAGCGAAACAGTATGCCCAGATTATTTCTGTAATAAACTTTCTGTAACGAAACCAGGGCTGAAATCATTCAGTAATATTGAAATTTTAATCTTATAATTTACTTGACTAAACTGAAAATTTTATAATTATATCTATATCTATATCTATATCTATATCTATATCTATATCTATATCTATATCTATATCTATATCTATATCTATATCTATATCTATATCTATATCTATATCTATATCTATATCTATATCTATATCTATATCTATATCTATATTTATATCTATATCTATACCTATACCTATATCTATATCTATATCTATATCTATATCTATATCTATATCTATATCTATATCTATATCTATATCTATATCTATATCTATATCTATATCTATATCTATATCTATATCTATATCTATATCTATATCTATATCTATATCTATATCTATATCTATATCTATATCTATATCTATATCTATATCTATATCTATATCTATATCTATATCTATATCTATATCTATATCTATATATATATATCTATATCTATATCTATATCTATATCTATATCTATATCTATATCTATATCTATATCTATATCTATATCTATATCTATATCTATATCTATATCTATATCTATATCTATATCTATATCTATATCTATATCTATATCTATATCTATATCTATATCTATATCTATATCTATATCTATATCTATATCTATATCTATATCTATATCTATATCTATATCTATATCTATATCTATATCTATATCTATATCTATATCTATATCTATATCTATATCTATATCTATATCTATATCTATATCTATATCTATATCTATATCTATATCTATATCTATATCTATATCTATATCTATATCTATATCTATATCTATATCTATATCTATATCTATATCTATATCTATATCTATATCTATATCTATATCTATATCTATATCTATATCTATATCTATATCTATATCTATATCTATATCTATATCTATATCTATATCTATATCTATATCTATATCTATATCTATATCTATATCTATATCTATATCTATATCTATATCTATATCTATATCTATATCTATATCTATATCTATATCTATATCTATATCTATATCTATATCTATATCTATATCTATATCTATATCTATATCTATATCTATATCTATATCTATATCTATATCTATATCTATATCTATATCTATATCTATATCTATATCTATATCTATATCTATATCTATATCTATATCTATATCTATATCTATATCTATATCTATATCTATATCTATATCTATATCTATATCTATATCTATATCTATATCTATATCTATATCTATATCTATATCTATATCTATATCTATATCTATATCTATATCTATATCTATATCTATATCTATATCTATATCTATATCATCTATATCTATATCTATATCTATATCTATATCTATATCTATATCTATATCTATATCTATATCTATATCTATATCTATATCTATATCTATATCTATATCTATATCTATATCTATATCTATATCTATATCTATATCTATATCTATATCTATCCAAATTTTCATGTTTGGATCTTGGTCATTACACATTATATATTTTTACGATGCGAAATAAGGGGCGTATAGTCATATTTTATTCAAAGCTTTTTAAGTAAAATAGACGCCATAGCAAGGTTACTATAGATGCGTAGCTTTTACTCAAAAAGTCAAATCTCAAATTTAATGAGCACAAACAATGAGTACGTTCAGCAGATTGATTGATAAAGATTTTACGTTGCAAAGCAAACATGTTTAAATAATATGGAAAATTAATGTCTATAAATATACATGACAATAAATCGTCTAGCATTGTGCAAAGAGTAATAAACTCTCTGCAAACACGTTTAAAGCATTCTGCTGAACGCATCCAAGGCATAGTCTGGCGGATATATGATTAATGTGTTGTTTTGTTTGTAATCATTGATAGATTCGCTGTAGTCTGTTTATTTTATAATTTCTCGTTGTTATGCAAAGTTGACAACGTCATTTTTTTCGGCTCATTTCTATGTTCTTCGATCAGTTCAAATTTGCTTAGCGTCGAGATGAGACACGTGTGGACCTTAGTGGTGCTGATGACAGCATCGACTCTTGCGGAGTATCGAACATTGTATGGCGGGAATTTAATGGTTAGCAACGGCGGTTATATAAATAACAGGAATACCGGTATCATATCCGGAAGCCAAAGGGACAGACCTTTCGAAAATGTTGGAAATCAGGCCGGATATGGATTCTTTAATGGAGATATCAGCGGAGCTTCATTCGGACAGCGAACAGAAGGATCGTTAGGATCTAGCAATGGTGGAGAACCCTTTTTCACATCTGGACGTCAAAGAGGAGGACCTCTTGCGATTTCTGGCAGTATGCCTGGAGATGGTTTGGTAAATCGAGAAAGCAGCGGAGGATCCTTTGGACAAGGAAACACGGGACTAATAAGAGGTAGTAAAAGTGGGGGACCATTTAAAGTCAACGTCGATCAGGAAAGTATTATGTATGGAGGACAGAGCGAAGGACCTATTCGCAGTCAGTCTAGTGATGAAATAGTGAATAGCGGTAGCAGTGGCGGACTCTTTGGACAAAGGAGAACTGGATTAGTAAGGGGTAGTAATAGTGAAGGACCCTTTCAAGTAAATGCCGGCCAAGGTATTATAGCTGGGAACCAAATCGGAGGATCTTTTGGAAACCAGGGTACGCATGTAAACGCTGGCAGCGGTGGTGGATCTTCCGGACAAGGAAACATTGGATTAATAAGGGGAAGCAACACTGGAGGACCATTTAGAGTTAACGCCGATCAGGAAAGTATTATATCTGGAAGACAGAACGAAGGTCTTTTTGGAAATCAGGCTAGAGATGTATTTGTGAATGTTGGCAGCAGTGGAGGGCCCTTTGGACAAGAGAAAACTGGATTAATAAGGGGTAGTAATAGTGGTGGACCCTTTCAAGTAAATGTCGGCCAGGAAGGTAATATAGCTGGGGCACTTGGAGGATCTTCTGGAAACCATGTTGCACATGTAAACGCCGGCACCGGCGGAGGATTAATAGGGGGAAGCAACACTGGAGGACCATTTAGAGTTAACGCCGATCAGGAAAGTATTTTATCTGGAAGACAGAATGAAGGACTTTTTGGAAATCAAGCTATGGATAAATTAGTTAGCGGAGGCAGCAGTGGAGGACCCTTTGAACAAGGACAAAAAGGATTAATAAGAGGTATGAACAGTGGTGAACCCTTTCAACTAAATGTCGGCCAGGAAGGTATCACGTCTGGAAGCCACAGCGGGGGAACTTTCGGAAATGCTGGAAACATGCCTGTCGATGGGTTGGTAAATGGACACAATACTGGAGGACCGTATGGACGGGCAAGCGATAGATTAATACGAAGTAGCAGTGGTGAAGGACCTTTCAGATCTAACGGGCGCATCATATCTGAAAGCCAAAACGGCGGACCTTTCGGAAATCAAGCCGTAAATGGTTTGGTTAAAGGTGGTGTCAATGGAGGACCATTTGGTAAAATAGAAGGCGGTTTAATTCAAAGTAGCAGCAGTGGAGGCCCTTTTAAAGCAACTGGCGAGCAGGATGGTATCACATCTGGAGGCCAGAGTGGAAATATTTTTAGAAATAGTTCTGCTAATGGATTGATTAACGGTAGCGGCAGTGGAGGACCTTTTATGTGAGAAATATGTGCATTAAGCAGAGGCATAATAAAGATCAAATAGCTTTTAAGTTGTACATTTTCTTTCGATTAAAATACCAAATGACATTGAACTTTATGCAGGCAGCTGTTTTATTTTCCTGCTTTGTTAGATAGGAAGCAGTCCACAATTGTTAAAATTGATTTTCTGATTTATGTGTCTGTTTTTGCCGCATGTTGCCAGTCAAAGACAGCAGCGGCAGCAGCAGTATAGACGTCGCCTCCAATTCAGAATCATACTTAACATTTGCCCAGTCCAAAAATGCAGTCAAAGTTCTGCAATATGCAACAGTGCCCCACACTGTCCCCATCAAACCCAACCTGAACTGGCAACCTAACATTTTTGTGCTTGTGCAGCCAGGCGTTGATGGAGACATTCGCAAATGGCAGCGAGAGTGAGCGAGAAAGTGTGTGCCCTCTGATTCTCCCTCTCCCTCTCACTCTGTTATCTGTGCCGCACATTTCTAGCTGTGCTTTGTGGCAATTGTTGCTGTTGTTGCTATATTTAGCAGCACAGACGCAATATATATAGAGTTTAATTGATTGGAAAATCAAATTGATTCGATTCGAACAACAAAAGCAACTTCAGCCCTCACATAAGCCACACAGTGCGAACGGTCCAGCCTCGGGTGGACCACAGCACTCGCCAGACCAAGCCCAGCCCCAGCAGGTTGGTCGGAACCTGTGGCATGGCTGGTCGCAGCTCATATATTTGCCACAGAATGCAACTGCGTCCTTTTTAATGGTTCTCCATGTCTATGCATTATTGTTGGGCTTTTGATCATGGTTTGGCCCCTGCAATGGGCTTGCTCTTGTTTTGGTTTAATGGGTCCAAGTGGCATAAAAAAGTCTCGTGGCGGAAAAGCAATATGAATTAGAAGTTAAAAGAAAACAAAATATGCGTAACACTAACGGGCCAATGAATCCTAACAATCTTCACATAAACATAAACATAAACACATTGTTAAAATAATACTTCATGATATTACACTCTGATTAACTGATTATGGCATACATATTTTTAATATTCTCTATATTATTATCCTGAACAAATTTGCCTAGTTGCGGAAGGTATTTAGTTACAATAAATCAATTATGTGTTATCATTATTTAAAATCATAAAATAGAATTCCCAGCTATCTTTTTATAGTGTAGTGTAGTGGTGTATCTAGAATTCTAGTGTATAAAAATTATTTTTTACAAAATGTGTGTACCGAGTGGAATTTCAGTGGAATTTCATAATTGTCTGATATAATTATGATCGAATTGCATTTGCTTGTATATCATATAAGATATTCACAGCAAATTTCGTACTTGAATCATTTCCAGCTTTTAATGTATAGATCTCTACTGTTGTCCAAATCCAAACTGAAATAAAAAGAAGTTTACTCATATTCAGTACTTACATATATGTTTCTCTCTTTGTTGTTTTAACTCCCACATATTACTTTTAAAACATTGTATAATCGCTCTCTCTTTCTCTCCCTCTTTCATGTTGTCATTCCCACGTCCAAAGCCAGTCAACAGCTCAGCTATGCATTAACAACATCGCAATACCTGTTTAATTTTTATTGTTCAACTTGCTCCACAGTCGAGCAAAACAAAATAGCCACAAAGCGTTAACTGCAGTTGGGTGGTGGCTGTTGAGGTGGCGGTTGGAGAGGTGACGGGCGTCAACAAAAGCTCACAACCTGCTCACCAAGTGAGGCTAATGTGACTGCTCAATGAATGCCAACAGCCGATATGTTTAATGGGCAGCAATACAAAAACTTTTACGTACTACCCAAAGCCAGAGCCAAGCAATTCAATTGAAAATAATTAGCAGACACATAGCGAAACTTCTTAATTGCCCCAGCGTGAGAAGTGAGCGGGGCGGTACATGGAAGAGAGGAGCAACGAGAGCGTAGCTCGATGTTAACTTGGCAGCCAGTCAAAATAAAACATGAGTAGTCTAATCGAAAGGGCTCGACTAACAGATACCCCGTCTACTCAGCGACAAGCTTCCCTAACAAAGATACAAATATTCTTCTCTGTGAATTTCACACAGTGGGCGTGCATTCTTAAATATCTTCGGTGTATATAGTCCGATCGTTATGAAATTCACAAGGCTTAAATATAACATAAGAACTCTGTGTGTAAACTAAGCAAGGCGCTATCATTGATACATGATTTCGGCTATCGAGTGTGAAATATTCTGGCTGCTCAATAACCTAAAGATTTAATTTCGTGTCTCTAACTCCCATACCCTTTTGAATACGCTTACATACTTTATTTTAAAATAATTTTTTAACAGTAATATAGAAATGGAGCGAGATATCGAATAAAATTATAGGATTGTTCTTCTGATATAAGATATGTAGCTTATATTTTTTCTACGAACATACAGACAAATAGGCAGATGGTCTATCATCGATATATACCCTTCTCTAAGTGACTTCCAATAAGTACAGGGAATACAAAATCGAAAACAAATACTTTGATGTGTAGACAGTGATAGCAGACACAATCAATCGCATTATGCATTTACTTAGGTTGTCTGTCTGCCCCAAGACATTGTCCGAGTCTCCACTTGTCCCGCGGGTGCTCTGTATATGCTCTTGTATAAATTCGCGTTATTATTTAAAATTCATTCATTTGAGCTTCTTGCCTTGACCATGCTGCATAGCCATCAATTTATTTTCCTGCTGTGGTTGCTCGTTGCACTGCTCAGCGGTAAGTTGTCCTCTGCATTTCCTATGTGCATATATATTTATGTGAATGTTATATAACAGATGTCAATGGCCTGCCCTTTTCGTTTAATTGGGGCCCCTCTGCGAACCGGGGACCCAGCGGCGGACCAGCCTGGAACGGTGGAAGCGATCAGTCAACCGATAATATAATTCTACATTCAAACGGCAAATGGCGCTACTAGTTGACTTTTGGACCTGATTAATGATATGATCCAATTAAATATATTTTTTAATTGCTGTTTTCATGCCTTTCTTTTTGTTGTGGGTGTAGTAAATTAAAGATCGACGAACAATATTGCCACTCATCAGCAGATGATTTACGTTTATATAATTACCGGAATTAATTTGTGAATATTGCTCAACTTGGTTGACTGTCTTTAATTATTAAGGAGTATTAATATTGTCGTCTTATGTGTAATGCATCAAAGAATTTTATCTAATAAACGAAATAGTACTATACCAATTTCATAATATACCAAGTTTCATATTATTTAATAATTACCAATAAGTAAAGCTCATCAGTTGTTAAGAGAGGACTGTTTATCGACTGAGGTTCACTTTTGAATAATATTTTCAAGTCCAGAACCAAGAAATGTTCGACCTACGCCTCGAACGAAGTTAAGCTTAGGTTTCTGTTCGTAAACCTGGTATTATGAGTTCTTTGATTGGTTTCTTTCATTGGTTCTTAATGTATGAATTAAAGTTTGGTTTGTCTAATTCAAATAGATAATAAATATATATACTACAAATCTTGTTATTTGTAAGACAGTTTATTTTTGTGTCTGTGGCTTAATGCTTAATATGATTCTTTTAATTGTTTTGATATGGTTCGGGTCTAACGTTTTATGTTAGATTTATGTATTGCCTACCTAAAAATTGAGTAGATGGTTTGACTTAAGGCCAGCTTAAAACTTCGAATTAAATAACTCAATTTAATGCTTGATTATATATATAAGTAAAGATTCGATTACTCTTTCACCTGGAAAGGGCATTTTAAGTACGGCCTGTATAGAGCTCAGCTTTTTCAAGTTTACATTTAATATCATTGTGTTTGTTGTAAGTAAATACACACACTCACACATATACATACATATATATATATACATACAAACTCTCTCTCTTTGTCTTACGAACTGATAAGCCGTCAGATTATATTGTGTATTCCCCATCTGAGCGATACACTTCTGACCCAAGTATGAACGAGCAAATCCAAAGAAACGAGTATTGACTTAAGTACAAATGCAAATATTTGCCACGAAAGGGATTTCCCAAGTGCTAGCAGGTATATACATATAAATATACTTTATATGTATGTAGGCTAGATCAGTTAAGACGAAAAAAATATATGTATGTATATGCATCTAACAAACATAAATAAATATATATAGTCAACATTTACACAGTAAAATTCATTGGGGTAAAAATTAAAACTATATTATCAAAACAAAAAAAAAAAAGAATTTTTTTTTACAATAAGCCTGAATACCAATTGTATTTAATTTTTATTATTTTTGGTACTTATCGCGTCGCTCTCAATTATTTACCTATTTCAATTTTTGTCAAATGGAATTCGTGCGACAGTTTAATTGATGTGCACTCGGTTGAGTTACTCATCAGCAATTCGTCACCTAGTTCGTAGCACTGAGTGACACCCAAAGTTTTGTCGTTTGTGAGGTGTGAGTCGAAAACGGGAGTCAGTTTAGAGACGATCTCAGTTCGAGCGGTAACCGCAAATCGTGTGGAAGCGCAACGCCGTAATCGTCTCTGGCTTTTTCCCAGAGGCTGCACCGCTGACCTCTGTCTGATATCTACCCACGTAGTATATTTAATAAACAACATATAATACTCGATCGATCGCTTGTATAAATAGGGGGCTTTTAGCACTGCATTGATATAGTCAACCCGTTGCACAAAATGGACACGTATCGCGCTCTGATGATGATCGGGCTAGTTGCACTCGCCGTCTGCTTGGCCAGCGGTAAGCACTCAAGTATTTCTGCAAAGACCTGCGACTTATTACAAAATTTAAAAATTTGCAGCTCAACCAACCTCGACGGATAAATCCATAGCCGGCACAGCGGAGCTGCCAACCCCGCCGACGCAAGCTCAGCCGGTGTCCAGCTATCTGTATAATCAAGGAGGAAATGTTGTGCTGCAAAACGAAGCTGGTAGCATCTACACGCGCCCCGATGGACGTAAGGTATTGGTTGGAGCTGGCGGCCAGACGATTGTAACTGGAGCTGATGACAGCGATGAGGATGACGATGATGATACTCAATCGGGATTTAGCGGCAACTACGGCAACAACGTTGTCATCAATGGAAGGAGTGTTGGTGGCTCGAGTTTTATTTCGAGCAATGGCGGCGCATTGGTAATGAACCAGGCTGGAGAGGGTGGCTACCAGACATACAACAATCACCAGATTCGTATTGTCAACGGCGGTCTGCAGCTGACCACCGGCGGTCAGGTGTATGATTTTCCGGCTAAAGATGCTAGCGTCAGTTCCCAGGAGAAGATCAATATCAATGGCCAAGAAGCTACAGTCCAGTACGAGAATGGCAACATTGTTGTGGAGCTGGCTGATGGCACAGTGCTGGCCAAGGCCGATGGCGGACTCTTCAGCGGCGATCGCAATTCATATGTGAACAGAAAGCAGATTCAGGAGGATGCTGCCCGACAGGCTGCCAAGGTTCAGGAAGACATTGCACACCTGCAAAAGGAACTGAATGAGCGGCTCAACTTTCAAATGAGGAAGCTACAGGAAGATCTAGAGCACACCCTGGGCAATATTCATTTCTAGTATATTAAATGAAATGTGAGCAGTTACACTGCATACAGCTTTGCATATACTCAAAATTATTTGTCAGTAGCTGCTCAAACACATTTTATATGCTACTTTTTCACGAGTATCTATAACTTATTGTCGAAATAAAGTACATATTATCGAGCTATTCTAATGTGCATTTAAACTGGCATGTTTCAATTTCTGCTGATGACGTTATTCGACTTTGAAATCATAAGACGCAATTCAAGACAATTCACTATAGAATTATACAGAAATACGGCAGAATATTCAATTGCCATGCTCATGCTCATTTGTGTTCAGGGTTTTACTACGAACACGATTATTCTGAGAAATTTGTATTCAAATTAAACTTGCTTCACAAACGTAAAACCTTTTAAGGTTTGAATAGTGTCGTTTGAACATGGTATTTTGTGCTAATTTTAATTGTGTAATAATTAATTAGGTATGTATATAGATATGTACATACATTCATGTACATTTATGTACATACATACATATATATAAAAGCACGCACCCTATAATTGCATACATTAGACAGCGGCTGTGATATTTTAAGAGCAATAATATGTCATTCAAATCTTATTCCAAAAATAATTAGCTGTAAAGAAAAATGTTTTTCCACAGAAACATAAAATTTGATACTCAACACAGGCTCAAATATCAGAGATACTAGAAGGCGGTATCTTAAACGGGCTGAGAATCCCTAAATTCAGAGGGGCACAAAATATCTTATATGTATGTATGCTTGTAATGCATTTTAAGGCAAGATTATAATTATCTTGAACGTAGATTGTACACGACCTAAATGTTTTTAGGTATAAAAAAGTCAACAAAAGTGCAACATTTCGAGTCCCATATATGTAGTTGTATATAGTATGGTATATTGTGTCTGGTAGTGCTTCGTCTTATTCTTTATCCATGACATTTGGAATACTATGACAAAGTAATACATATTATGCACAATTTTTCTGCTGAGTCTGAAAAATGCCAACCATGTGCCCTGCTGTTCGTTCTACATTTTGCACTCATACTAATTTCAAAGTGCCATATATCAGTGGGCTTGGAGTTGGGAGCGAAGGGGCAGTCAACCGCCCAGCTGCTGGGGCCACGCAAATTCCACAAGTGACAAGCGCCTGGCAGCACTACCGTTGCCACCTGTAGACGTAGTCATGGATCCATATTCAGCCCGTTTCTAACCCCTTTCCTGTTGCTGGCAGGGCAATGTGTGTGACAAATGTGCGTCAAGTTACTGGCAACTTATTTTACAATGGGGCTCCCTCGCACTGGCGCGTCCGCTCGCAACTCTCAACTTAACTCTGGCAAAATATTTAACTTGGCGGAATCTTTTATAATTAATTTGCCAAACTCCAGCTTTTTATACCCTACATCTGGTTAAAGATGGTATGATGGTTGTCAGGAGGACAAATTACGAATATTTATACCCGTTCGTCTTTCCATCTTTTGATCTTGAAAGCACTAGACTTGAAATTCGAAATATACATATATGTTTTAAATTTATTTTCTGAATGTTGACCTAATTTTTAATATCGATAAATATCGATTTTTAAGCAAGAGTTTCGGGCATCAAGGGTCTCGTACAGTATATAAAGATTAAGAATATTTTATTTTAAGGGTTTCCTGGTATAAGGTATTTCCTAGTCAAAAACTCTATATTTTCTTTGCGTTAATACATACCTCTTGCTTTTGGCTGCCTATTTTGAAGTTTCCTCAAATTTGTGCTGCAAGCTTTTGGTATTTGTAGCTACATAAAAGTGTGGCACAAGCTATTTTGTATACATTGCACCTAGAAAATGGATGAAAATGTTATAATAAAAACTTTCTAACGTACATAAAACTTAAGTGATTTTCCATATATCGGGTATTTAAAACCTGAGGCTTTTTAACTAAAACATTTTTAAATGTCTAAAATCAGGAAGTATTTGATTGATTTATAAGCGCCTCGTTATGCAAGCGACACCAGCTGAATTAACTTTTGTCACCACCCACACACCATATTATACCCTTCACTTACTGAATAAGGCTAAAAAAGGTGTACTGAAGCTTTGTATATGTTTGTAATTGGCAAAAGAAGCATTAACACAGACAAAGCCATCTGGTCATGCGTATCTGTATTTGACTTACACTCGTTTAGTATTGATCGAAAATCAAGGCTCGACTCGCCTCGTTCCTCTTATTAAGTAGTATCCAATCGGAATATTTGTCAGTAGCTGTTATATTGGTTTAAGCCAATCTAATATTCCCCCTTTTTTCTATGGAGACCGGGTATAATTATGTACAAGTCGATCATTAGTTTCGTTTCACCGTGGCGTTTTACGCAAAGTCTCTTATGTAACCGAAAAGGATTTAAATGTAATTCACTTAAGAGTGACCTAATCAGTGTATAATTGATCTGCTACAGGATGGGATGTGTGTGGATTTTACCATTTCTGATGGCTATGACGGCTGGGACTATGGAGGGTTCGACTGAATCCAATATAGAAAAGAATAGTGTAAAGGGGGGTGAAACCCCAACTGCTTGCCCATGCGGCAAATACCGTGCAAGGTGGCATCACCTTATGGACGGAGAATCATCATGGCTTTATTCTTTAAGCGAAAGTACCGAACATAAGGAAAACCCTAGACATGGGCCTCTTGATAATGCCTTTGACGTTTCTACTGCATACGCAAGCACTGAAGAGTCATCAAGTAGCGAGGAGCTCGAGGATCATAAGAAAACGCATAGATATAGGGCTAAGCATAAGAGGTTCAATTGCAAATGTCTTGAACCTTTTCAAAAGGCGAAAGAATAATAAAAGGGTACATCATATGGGTTATGAAATACGAATATATTTGTATTTTTACTTTAAGACTTTCATCGAAATAAAAACCAAGAGTCATAATAAATTTACCTTTCAAAAAAATGTTGCTGTTATCTGTTTCAAAATGAATAGAGAGTATATTTATTCAGTTGTCTAATTGCATCTGTGAATATATGGGGCCCACCTGTGTATATTCATTCTTGATCTTAGAAGGAAAATATAATAAAATATTTGGTGTAAAACTGGAACATTTTTAAAGCATTTAACTAAGCAGTTCAAATTACATGATTGAATAACAAAGGCTGTTAGTCTCAGTGCACCGTTGCGTATTGATTAAAATGGAAGCGATAATTGTATTTCGAGCTCCTATATCTGCAAGCCAATTAGTTTGTAATATTTCGGCAGCAAGATGAAACCTATTTCGCTCGGGCTCCTGATTATGGCTGTATCGATTGTGGCTGTAAGTGGTGGAACATACCGTTTTGAATTGGACAACTTTAAGTCAGAAGAAAGTTCCTATCTTCCTGGCAACGTTAAGCAAGTCAAGCTTGAGGTTAACCCTCAATACGCACAATCTATGCCGGTGGACTATATTAAACATCTTAATGATGTCTTATCTTCTGGAAATTTTCTTGATAATGAGGCGCCTGAAAATAATAGAAATGGTGGGAAAACTAAATGCGATTCTGCATTCAAATTCAAATGTTATCTCTTACAGTTTCAGGTAATGGAAAAGATCTAAGTGATGGATGTCAGAATCAGACTCAAGGTGGAGAACAAAATCTTAAGGATACTACTGATCATTCGGCAAAAATTTTTAAGACTGAAATTCGCGTTCAAATAATTTCTTCAAAAACTGAACAAGAAGAGAGCAGCTCTTCCAACAGTGACAGTGAGGAGCAGAATGAAAAGGGGGCTAAACAGAACATTGATAAACCTTGTGATAAAAAAAAGGTTAAGAAAACTCAAAGTTCCTTAGGCAGGAAAGAAGGTCTCGAGCAGAATCAAGAAGGGAAAAATGAATGCGACGGCGAAACTTGTACGCACACTTGAAATCTATAAGCTTCTCTAGTTTCTGATATGTGATGATGTGCTAAATACACACATTTAAATTTATTGAAGACTAAAAATATATATTTGATTTCTCTTCAAGCATTTATTATTTTGAATCTAATTTTGAATCTAATTATTATTAGCAGCGAGAATAATATTTCACAGTTTTGCAGTGTAAACATGAAAATATTTCCGCTGCACTTTTAATGCTTCAGCTGCTTGCAACTTGATGGCATAATTTTGTGACAGTATTTATTTTCCTTTCGTTTTTTTTTGTATTTTTCCAGGGATTGTGGGCTGCGCATAAAGTTGTCACAAGTCATTTAAACGCCTTGCCACGTGCAAAATGGCGTCCAAAGTGTCTGGTTGTGTGCGTGTTAAATGAAGCATGAGTGTGAGCTTTGCTTTAAATGGGGTGAGCGAGTGTTTGACTGTGCGAGTGTGCGCGTGTGTGTGTGTGTGTGGCAACTGACACAAACTTGCCGCTAGCTTGCATTTTGTAATTCTCACACATTGCGCTAAAATGAGAACAGTTCGCAAATGTTGCTGACAGCGTCGCTTAGCTGCCCCCTATTTCACATACATACGCATCTAACATACACACACACGGGCACAAATAAATAGTTACGCTTATGCAAGTGCGAGTTGTTGGTTATATGAAAAATTAAATTAGTTCTACCTTTTGGCCGACACGGTTAATTTGCTGCAAATGAGCTGTGACAAATGCAGATGCGACAAATGTCTGCATTAATTAATATGCCTAATATGTGGCACCTAAAAGCTATATACAAAACTATGTATACGGCATTATTTAATTGTTGCAATTGCTCTCGCTTTGTTTTGGCCATATCTAGGTACGCTGGCTACACTCAACGGTACCTACTAAAAGCGGTCAGGAACACAGGTCAAGCGAAAACTGAACGAACTGCAGTTGCTTCCTCATATACAGGAGGTGTGGCTACTAACGCTTAGCAGCTGCGTCATCTTTTCTATAGTTAGTCAAAGATTCAGCCGTTGCCTTGTACTTAAAATATGCTAAATCTTTCCTTTGGGCTTAGCCGAACTTAGCTGTAAGCGTTAGGGGTGATCTTGAGCATACTTTTATTCGCCTGCTAATTGGATAAAACTGCAAAAAACCTATCCGATGCACTCTTTACGAAACTGATGACTGAAAAAATATTTGTTGGATCAGTTTCTGCTTGTATTTATTTTATGAGTTTGCAGAGAGCTTCTATTGCGATAGAAGCTCTTATTTGATACACACTGTCATTACTCTGCTTACCATGATCTTTAGTTAAGCTTTATTGAAGATCCCTAAAAGTAACTGAAATCCTTATACTACGATATACACCATGAAATCATAAATAAATTCATACAATATTTCTTTTAAATTGGAAACTTCACAAAAGGTAGATTTATTGGCTTAGTAAAAACAAAAGGTACTTAACAACACCAGTTTTACTTCATAAGAATTTAGCTTAAATAAATAAATAAATAAATAAATATTTTGTCTTCTATGGAACTATAGAAATCGAAAACATTTAATTGGTAGATAGTTGGCTGAAAAAGGATAAGGTTGTTATCAAACAGTTTTCCGATCATTTGGATTAGTACATAATATTCTTGTGAAGTTGATGCTAGTTAAAGACGTCTGCCATTACATGGAAACAAATTTTACCCTTGTTACAGATAGTTGTTGATAATTCCAAAGGCGAATTAAGATAAATAAATATGATACGCCTAGAATTGTTAAAAAAGGCATAAAAAATAAACTAAATTGGGGGATAGCATTTTTATTTATTTATATATTCGCTATCTGAGGGATAGCATTGCTGTTGAGCCTTCAACTGCATTTATACTAAGTGACCTTTAATGTTAAGTAGATACTCGCTTAATAACTAAATAAATAAGAATTTAAACTATAGCTTACAATTACACAATACCAATATCCATTTGTCATTTCTTTAAGTACCATAGCAGCAACAGATATCAGCACTTTGGCTCAGTGAAAAAAAAACTTCTAAGTACTTGTGTCGATAAAAACCGATTGGATTTGTGACTTTGTATAGTGCTTCTCTGTCTAAGCAAAAAGTTTTATCTGCTTTTGTTTGGCTCAAGTGAAAGTTAAATGGGCCAAAAGTAACCTTTGTGCAGTTGTTTACTCGAATATTTGCTGCCAAAAGGCCAATGCTCAATTCTGATATCAGAACTACCTGCGTGAATAGTTTGAGCAAGTTTTTTATTTTTATTTCTTTTCTTATGTCTTTTTTTTGTTTACTCGTTTTTACCCTGTGCCCATTTTGGGTATAAAAACAAGGATACAGAAGTTGTGCTTCTATGTGTAACGGCAGAAATAGATGAGACTTTAAATATTATTAATATTTATCTTGAAGGAAATCTATGTCGATTTAGACTCAAGCTTATAAGTAGGTGAGGACACGCTCACTTAACTCAAATCTAAAAAGCTTAAATTCTTAATAATTCACCTGACATCGTTATAGATATATTTTCAATCTTATATTTCAATTTGGGAGCAAAGACCCACCAGGTTTTTCAGTTTTCAGTTAGACAAAGGTTGGTTATCGTTATTCAATTTAATTTTGCTAGAGTCATTTATTGATTTTATATGCATAAATCATTTTTAATTATATCTTCGCATTTAGAAATAAATGTTGGCAGATGTCAGACCAATTCTTACCTGTGCACAGGGTATCATTTAGTCGAGTACTGTCGACTAGTGCACTCCTAGCTGCTTGAGTGTGAGTCTTTGCATTTTCAATGCATTGCGGTAATTTTGAAGCAGCCATTACTCGCACAGTATTTCACACGCATGCGGAGAACTTTTCAAAATGATTTATACGGCCCGGATACTTACTTGGGTATCTGTGACAAAGTGCTCCTTTGATTTATGGCACTTTGGAAAACAATGCAAATCGAAATGAGTTTGACATGTGCAGAGTCCAAAATTTGTTGTTACCTATATTTAACATAGGAAAATAAATTCAGTCAACTTTGAATGATGAAAGGTGAACGAAAGCTGGGCTGAGTTTATTTTTGTAAATTTGAAGAAAAGGTGTTTACGTTGCGTATACTTGATTTAATTTAATGTTATGATTCCACTCCTTGCTGTTTTTTTTTTTTTTACCAAGAAATTAAGTTTTGATAGCGTAAGATTTGTCACTACGCGTTACTCAAATTCTAAAACTGGGTGACACATAGACGGTCACGATTTGATATTCGCCTGAACATGGTCCACAGCTTAAAAATGTTATAAAAAATAACGAGAAACAAATACTTTCTTCGTCACGGCGAAGATTAAACACCCTTGTCGATATATGACTTACGGTAAAGCTGATATGTGATTAATTTGGCCAAGATGTTTTGAAAATCAAATAAAAACTGTGCATATAAGAACTTACTTTTGGATTAATCATATCTATGAAAGCTATATGAGACAGTGGTCCAATCAGGCAAAAGCGTCTGCTTTTATGCGTTACGTCTTCCCTAACAATATTATATTTCTCAATTCAAGACTATAAACAATTATCAAAATACTAATCAATTAACATAATCTAAATGATCAAACAAATTATAAAAAGTAACCTGTTGGATTCCCACCAAGAACGTCAAGTTGAAGAACAACAGTTTTTGCGAAAGACGATCAGATGACGTATGTGCTACTGATTATGACTGTACAACTATAGACTTATGCAAAAAAAAACTGAAACATGCTTTGTTGAATCAAAAATTTATATTTTTAAATATTATATATATATACAACTTACTTATATAATTTAATATATAACAATGCACACTGGAGGGCACTTTTTATTTTCGCTTAACAATTTCCGAATTGTTTGTTCATTTTGTACTTTGTTTGTGTTGTTTTGCTTATGAAATTAGCGCATGATTAACTAATACTTTGGAATAAGGCACTTGGAATTTAAAAAAGTTTTAAGAATTCGCGTTGCTAGAATTAAGTTATTTGCTGATTGTTTTGTCACTTCCGGCTGGGAACTTCCACAAGGTGTCTGCGTGATTATGAAACAAATATATTTATGGTGGGGTTTCCATTGATATTGATTGGTAAATGGGATCCTCCTTTGCTGGTCAGATCGATGGTGACATTTTGGCCTTTAGCATCGTCTTGGCCCACCTGATGTCGCTGGTTATAGCTATGATAGTCCAGGCCATTGTATCTGACGGTTGTCCAGTAGTAGAGCACATCTCCCGGCTGCAGCTTTTGCAGGCGATTGTGATATGTCCAGCGCCCGTTGCGTGCACTGACGACGTCGGTGGCCCAGGTTTGATCGCCGAGATCTTCCATTTCTGCATTGAGTTTGCCATGGAAGGCGAACAGCGTAATGCCCGGCTCGTCTGGTACGGAGACCTCAAAACCGTGCGGCGTATTCACTTTGACTGTGGCCCTGGGCACTTCGTATGCCTGGCTGCTGCCTAATGCCGCCAGACAAACGATGAGCACTAAAACTAGCTGCTCGACTTGAGACGTTGCTGCTCTCATGGTAACTGGCTCCAGCTGAGCGTACGATTCTTGCTTTTGTAGCTTATCTTCGTCCGGGTTTGGGGCTTTTTTTTTTTGGTTGCTCCAAGGGAAGCTGTGTTTTTCCCGCTGCAATTCCGACTCGCGTCAGACAGTTGATTGCTTGGGGCTCTGGTGGCGGCGAATTGCGCGAAAGCCAAAAAATATGCAACCCAAACACATTTAAATAACTTGAGAAAATACTTGCAGAGCTATATCCTCGTTTCCCCCTTTCTTTAAGCACATGAGTTTTAAGCTTTAACTCATATAGATAAAGACATGTATATATATACATATGACACTCAGTTAAGGCGGCCAGCCCCTGGCCAGCGTTAAGTGTGTGCAGTTTTCGTTTGGTCCTTGGGCCGATCTGCTTTGTACCAGTTACTCGCATGGCCACAGCCATCTATGGCATTGCTACAGTTTCCTTGTCTACTTGGGCCCTGGCCGAGCTCTTGCAGAGGCTCTGGTATCCCAAGTGTGGCACTCAAGCAGCTACAAGACAACTACGGTAGATACTTAAATAGTTACTGTTGT